AGATCCTGGAGCTGGCGGGCAACGCGGCCCGCGACAACAAGAAGACGAGGATCATCCCCCGCCACTTGCAGCTGGCCATCCGCAACGACGAGGAGCTCAACAAGCTGCTGGGCGGCGTGACGATCGCCCAGGGAGGCGTCCTGCCCAACATCCAGGCCGTGCTGCTGCCCAAGAAGACCAGCGCCACCGTGGGGCCGAAGGCGCCCGCCGGCGGCAAGAAGGCGACCCAGGCCTCTCAGGAGTACTGAGGGGCGCCCGCGCCCGGCCGCCCAGCCCTTGCCATGCCACCACAAAGGCCCTTTTAAGGGCCACCACCGCCCTCACGGAAAGAGCTGCGCCTCGGCGTGCTGCGGAGCGGGCGGGCCGCGGCGCCCGGCTTCCCCCTCTCTCCCTTACTCTCGCGCGCCCCCTCCGCCGGCCGGTCTCCCACCTCCGTGCCTTCCCCTCCCCCGCGTCCGCACGGTCTGCGGCGTCGGCCCCGGGCCCGCGGCTCTTCCGGCCTTCACCTCTGATACCTTGCGTGGTGTTCCTCGGGCGCCCTCCTAGGGGCCACCTTGGCGCGGAGGGCTGCGGGACGGGGCTTGGGGGGGCTAGAAGCGCAGCACTTGGCCCGTCTCGGTGCTCGTGACTCAGCCGCCCCAGCCTTGGAATTGCGGATGGGCTGCGGTGAGGCTGCAGCACCTTCTGGAAGACCTGCTCTGACGTAGGGCTCAGGTGGGCAGCCAAGGCCGGGAGGCCGGCGGGCCTGAAGGTGAGTCCCTTGGCGGCAGCTGCAGCCTGGTGTCACTTCTCAAGCTTGGTGCTTAGCCCAGGATTTCTAACGTGACTGTCTCCAGGCTTTGGGGAGAATTCCATCAGTTATTTTGGTCTGGTTCCCCCTATCGCTGCCACGTCTTAGGCCTTTCGCATCAGATCTTCATTGATAGGCCTCTGGCGTGACCAGGACAACACACGGTAATCTGAATGTTCCTCCAGAGATGACTGCCTAGAAGTTTTGGGAAGGACAAAGGCCTCCGTTTGGTTTCAGGCTGTGGACTGCAGTTATTTGTGCTGAAACAGACTGGCAGCCAGGCCTGTTGGGCCTCCCCACTCTGCCCCATTACCCTTCAATTCAGCAATCCAAGCGCCTAGATACCAGCACAAGTCAGTTAATCCCTGTCAGAACTGAGCCTCTGTTGGCTTCTGAACTGGACTTTTGCAGCTAACCCATCCAAGACAAGGACCTTCAGTATTGGGGGGGTTTCAGATGGACTACTTTTGTTTATTAAAGGATTGTTTTTTTAAATGAAGTGTCTGTTTTCATTTTGCAAGAGCTGTGGGATTGATGACTTAATATGCTTTCCTGAGGGATGGGACCAACTGTCTTAATACTGAAAAAGGGACAGGTCACAGGGTTTCTGGTTTTTTGTTTTTTTTTTTTTTTTTTTTTTGGTGTTGGGGGGGGGTGGTAGGGTGTGTGCATACAGGAGAAGGAAAGTGAGAAAGCACCTCCCAGAAGGGATGGCCATGTCACCATTCCTTACCCTGGGATTGTGGACACATGTCCAGTGTTTTTCAAGCCACTGGGCCCAGGACTTAAACCATGAGTTTGGCCATGTGGGTCCAGCCACCTTAGCTGTCATACCTTGAGCTGGCACCAAGCCATAAGATTTTAAGATTACAGCTCATTTGCTTTCTTGGTGTCCCCTGGGGGAATTATTCTGTTTGAAGCAGAAAACAAAGAGGTGCTAGAACTCTGAATGGATCCCAGCCTCAAGTCAGGATTAAAGAGTTTTATGTTCATATTTTCCTTTAACCCCACCAAAACAAAATAACACCTTCAGAATTGGTTTATTATACAGCTGGTCACATCCAAAGGTTGTGACCTGGGACTTTTTCTCTAAAAAGATGAAGCCCCCACCTACTGAGGAAGCAAGGTAGTCACTAAGGCCTCAAGGGTGAAGCAAGTCCCTGGAAGTTTCAGATCCTGCAGTTCGATCTTCTGGGATAATCACTCCCCAGTTAGTACTGAGGGCAGGGATGAAGGCACTGGACAGCAGCCATCTAGGCACTCGTGTCCCACAGACCACTTAGCGGGCATCATTAAGCTGCCGTGCGACATCCAGAATGTTCTTGGCTCCTTTGTTCAACAACAAATTGGCTAGGGTGATGCCCAGGTTCTCAGCAGCCAACTGGGCTCCTCGTGGAATGTTTCGGGCAGTGATGCCTACCAGCTGTGGATCGTCCTCGGGGCCATCCTCTTGCTGGATGAGAGAGAGGTGGGATTTGTTGAGAAGGCACGATTCTAAGTCTTATTTACTGCCCCACCCCCCACCCCCACCTAAAACAGTTGCCTTAGCATGTTCTCAAAGGGACTGCTTAGAAACCTGGGATATGCAGGGATAAATGCTGGTCCTTTTCCCCCCCACCCTCCCGCCCGTTCTTCCCTGCTTACTTGCCCATCCTTCATAGCTGTATGGACTGCTACTGGCACACTGCAGCCTCCTTCCTGCAATGAGAAGATGTGAGCTCCAAAGGCCCTTACCACCATCCTGTGACCAGTCCTCAGAGATACACAGAGCTCTGAGGACATACCTGAAAAGGCAACTGGGGGCCCAGACTTGGGTCTTCTCCATATACAACATTCAACAAGAATGAATTATCATGGCATTAATTTGCGGAACCCCACCCCTCCATAGGCGGAGCACAGGTCCTACCAGGTGTCTCAGGAAGGCCCTTTCAGCGATGCAGCGAAGCAGAGTCTCAGGATCATGCAACACACCCACCAGATCCAAGATGTCCTGGTCTTTAGCTCGGACTTCGACGCCCAGGGCCCCCTGATGCAGAAACAGCTTAAGATATCAGGCTTGATTGTTCCCCCAACCAATGGAGCTGAAGATGGGAACCATCTCTCCATTTGGCTCAGTGACATCCCAAGGTCTGTCCCTTCCTGAGATATTTTTTTTTAAAAGAATTATTTATTCAAGGGGCCGGCAGGTGGCATGGTGGTTAAGGGTGCTGGACTCCCACATGGCCGATTGTGGTTCAAGTCCTGGACCTGGTGGCTTGCTTTCTCACTTTCTCACTCTGTCCCTCTCTGTTCAAATTAAAATACATAAATGAATTAATTAATAAAAAGAAAAAATAATAATTATTTATTCATTTATTTTAATTTGACCAGACACACACACACACACACACACACACACAGAAAGTGAGAAAGCAGCCACCAGGTCTGGGACATGAACTGTACTTGGCCATGTGGGAGTACCCAGCACCTTAACCACCATGCTGCCTGCTGGTCCCCCTCCCTGAGAATTTTATTCTGGGGGAAACAGATACAGAAGGTTGGGAGACCAGGTTCCTCACTGAGAACAAAGGGAAGGGGTACATGGTGTGGCTTCCCTGGTGGAACATACCTGGCCCACAGCATACATGCACTCCTCAGGGCGCAAGATCTGTGGTGGAAAGAGCAGGCAGTCAGAGAATAGAGACAGAGGTGCCTAAGGCCCCAGTAGGCCTTCCTTATCATCTAGAAGGCCTGGGTAGGAACAGGGAGTCTGGCCTCTGATTCACAATCTTCCCAGACTGAGCCTCATTGCCGGCTTTTACTGTTAAAGGTGGGATGGACGAGAAGAGAATACAGACTGGAGGGAGGTGCAGACCAACTAAGGAGGGGATGACATGGTCCTACCTGCCCCACTCGGTTCTGCCAGCCCATGCGCTGCAGGCCGGCTGTGGCCAGGATGATGGCGCTGAACTCCTGCTGTTCGTCCAGCTTCCGAAGTCGGGTGTTGAGGTTTCCACGCTGTGGAGAGATGCTAAGGACCACGAGTAGTGGGCAATCCGGAGCCTTGTGTGTAGATCCCTCTGCCTGAGGCTGTCTTTCCCTCTCCCTCAGGCTGACTTCTACTCATCATCCGGTTCTCAGCTTCATGGTAACAGCTAACACTTACATCATACTTACTATACGCCAGACACGGTTCTAAAGCGCTTTCCATATGTTCACTCTTTTCATTTTCACAGCAACTCTATGAGGGACATATTATTCTCGTTTTACAGATGAGGACAATGACAGGGAAGTTAAATACACTGTCCAAGGTTACTAGACCTCTGAGAAGCCTTCCCTGACCCCAAGTCTGTGTTCAGATGTTCCAGCTAGAAGCTGCCAGAGAACTCCCTACTTTGCTCACCAGAGCACGTAACACATTATTTTTTTAATTTGTTGCATGAGACATATTGCGTATTTATTGTAAAAAGTCACACAATATAGTAGCATATAAAATAAAAATAGGGCCTGGCCCTGTGCCCTACTAGTTAAGGGAGCTGGATCTCACATGGGTGACCTTTCAAATCCTGGCCCCAACACCTTGAAAAACACCAGGCAAACGTGTGTATATCGACATCCCATTCGGGGGTGCTTCACCCCGCCGCCCCCGTCTCTCTCTAGCAAATGCATGTACCCTCTAGCAACTAAGAAAGAAAGAGGGACCAGCAGTTAGTGTAATGGCTGTGTTGCTGAACTCCCATGTAGTCAACCACGGTTCAAGTCCCAGTCCCGGAGGCTTAAACTCAAGCCAGGTGCGTGTGTGTGCATGCCCAAGATCCCAAGAGGAGAATGGAGGAGAAGGAATTGCAGTGTGGCCATACCCCCCCGGGGGCGGGGTGATTTCTCGCTTTCTGTCTCTTTGTCTCTCTCTGTTTTTCTGGCGAGCACATGCGCTCTATAGCAAAAACTTCTCCAAAAATAAAGAAACTGTCCATGCCACCCCCACAAAGTAATCACTGTTCAGTATCACTCTGTATCATTGGTGTTCACCTCAGTCCCCTGACTAAAACATAAGCTATCCCAAAGCAAAGACGATGATTATCTTGCTCATTATCTCCAGTGCCAGGCACTTGTCTGCAACTAAGGAAACATGAAGAGATTGTGAATGGATGGATGAATGGGTGAGAAGATGGACAGACAGCTGCTGGCCCATGGGCCCTCCGTCTGGAAGCCCCTTCCACACTTGGAACTCCCAGGGCCTGCTGGACCTTGTCTTCCTCCTTGGCTGCTGCTCCTCCCTCTTCTAAAAGGATACAATACTCTTGAACTCCAGATGTGGGAACTTTCTCTGCAGCTGAGCCGCTCTCCGCAGGGAGCTAGTTCCCACCACGCTGCTCGGAGACACGAGACAGGGTTTAACATGAGATTTTACAGAAGGCAGCCACTGGGCCTTCCTCCTCCTCCCATCCCTCAATCTCCATATCCCACCAGGTGCCCTTCCAGGCCCCACTCACCTCCTCTCTGGCAAGGTTTCTAAGGTCTTCCCAACAAATTTTGGGTGAAAAACAACAGCATCATAAGGGTTCTCCCTCCTGGGTGAGGAGGAAAGGTAATAGCATGAGGGAGAGATTTCAGTTCAGGGCCCTCTGTTCTTCCTCCACAGTCAGCAAACGCCTTCTCTGAGTTTTCTGCCATTGCTCAGGGCTAGGGAGACAGCCCTGGGGGCAAGGGCTGTGTCCCACAGGGAAGAGCAAAGGTTCAGCTGATGCCTGGGCTCTACACGGACCTCCCTTGCAGGACTCTTACTTGCAGATGGCACCAATGGTGAAGCCAGGAGGAAGCACGGTGGGCAGGTCCTTTAGGGAGTGAACAACCAGATCCACTCTAGAGATGAGAGAGAGGCTAGGAGAAGGGGACTGAACAGCCAGCCCCCACCTCATCCCCACTCATCCTTGCACCTGCTTCAGGGGTGGAGCCTGGGGCAGTCCAGGAATCAGGCCTTCCTGAGACTCAGGGCCCTGAGACCTGCTCTCCTCCCACCCTCCCTCTATCTCCACTCCCCCAGGCAATCTTGCATTCCAGGCAGCCAGATGGCTCAGAATGAGGGCACTCTGTTTTTATGAAGCCAGGAAAAAAACACCTACAAGCCCCCTCCAGTCTATCTGAGGGTTTCCAGCCAGCAACCAAGCTGATATCTGGGTCTGCAGCACACTGGGGTCCCAGCAAGAGACTGGGAGGGCGCCAGCTCCCTCGTCCTCACTTACTCATTCCTCTCCAAGGCGTGCTCTAGCTCCTTGGTAAACAGGCTCTTCTCTCCGATCTGCCAGGCAAGAAAGAGTCTCAGAGTAAATCTCCTCAGGGCAGGAAAGACGGGGGACAAGGGTTGGGGAAGACATTGTTACCTTAGAGAGTGCAGTATCAAGAATCCGGTCCCCTGTAGTGGACATGGCAACTGAGGAGAGAGTGCATCAACCATCATTGATGAGCCCCCACTGTGCTAAGATCATGGTGGGAACAGACGGGCCCATCCTGTCCTCTGGGAAGGGGCAACCTGACTGGAAGACCAGACATACCCAGAGCAGACCCAAGCAGAAGACATTAAATGCCAGGCTAGGCAGTCAGAGCTGGCAGTTTTCAGAGAAGGCAAGAGCCTGCCAAACCGCAAGTAGCCAAGAGGGGATCTCAGAGGTGGTGGGACCAGGCTTTGGCCACAAGCAAAGCCAGAAAGGTGCTCTCTATTCTAAGGGCACTGGCTTCTCATTAGCTTCCATTCCTTTCCAGAAAACTCACTGATTTCAAACTGCAGGCCAGGATACAAGGTTTTCAGCGTTGCCACCACGCTGTCCGTCTGTATGCGAGCCAGCTGCGGGCAGAGATGTCTCTTAGTCCTGATCACCCCCCCCCTCCTTCGCCATTGCCCTGAACTCAGGCCCTCATAGGTCAGGGAGATCGGGAAGGACCAAAATTCTCACATGTCAGTGGGAGGTGAGTTCTGTGCACCCAACAGCTTCCCCAGTCCAGGGACTCTGTCTCTCCCAGAGTGCAATCGGCCATTCTCCCCGGGATTTAACCTGCAGCCACCCCATCCTGTCTGTACTGAGAACTACCTGTTGGTGTGAGCTCCTGAACCCTTGGCAAACCACCCCCTTCCCGCACTCACCTGGCTCTTACGAGTACCCACTCGAATCACTCTCATCTTTGGACTGTTTTCTTCCTGCAAAGAAAAGTCCCCAGGTCACAGTCCCCTCTGTTCCTCAACACCTCATCCAAGAATCAGCATGACTGGCTTGGGAGAGAGAAACCTCAGGCCCTAGCCTATGGGCAGCTGAGCCTCCAGGAGGGAAAATACCCCAAGACAATTCTCATTGCCTTCTTTGGTACCTCTGCCCTCCTCAGGGATCCAGAGCAGCAGAGACAAGAGAGGAGTGATCGCAGGACCTCTCGCTGCTGTTGTGCTGCTGCTGCTGCTGCTGTCGCAGGGACCAGGACACTGAGTCCTGCAGCACAGCCTGGCCCAGGCAGCTCTGAGGGAGTGCTGCACACAGCCAGGTGGGTAAAGAGATAGGCCCATCAGCCTGGCCGCAGGGAGGGTGGGGCCTGCAGCTTGCAGGGGCAGGGCAGCCAGGGTCACACAGAGGGATATCCGCTGAGTCACTGGTGGACAGGCTCACCATCCACAACACATCAGGCCCTTTAGAAAACTTCAGTGCCACCCAGATGCCAAAGCTCCCCATAGCTACCACGCTGAGGTTTCCTTAATCTGGTTAGAAGCACATGTAAAGGACTAGAGGGCTGGGCCAGCCCCACAGCCTAGTGGTAAGGGAGCCAGATCCCATACAGCCAAACATGGTTCAAATCCTGGCCCTGGCAGCATTGAAAAATGCATGAGGGCCAGTGGGTGGCATGGTGGTTAAGGTGGCTGGATCCCACAGAGCTGACTGCAGTCTGTCTTAGACCCAGAAACTTGAAAAACATTGGGTGTGTGTGCATGTGTGTGTACCTCAAATCCCAAAAGATGGGAGAGAATGGAGAAGGGATTGCAGTGGGACCATTCCCCATGAGGGGTGCTTTCTCACTTTCTCTTACTCTGCCCTTCTCTCTGTCTCTCTCCAGCGAGCACGTATGCTCTCTGGCAACTTTTTTTTTTTTTCAAAGGGAAGAAAAACACATGAGGGGACCAGCTAAGGTGTGTGTTAGCTAAGGTGCTGGGTTCCACATGGCCAACTGTGCAGCTAGCATGCCAAAACCAACATCTTGAAAAACATGCCAAGGGAACCAGCAGTTAGCATAATGGCTATGTCGCTGGACTCCCACGTAGTCGACCGCGGTTCGCATCCTGGACCCAGTGGCTTAAAACTCACGCCGGGTGCGTGTGCATGCGTGCCCAAGATCCTGAGAGGAGAATGGAGGAGAAGGGATTGTGGCGTGACCATCCCCTCTGGGGGGTGATTTCTCGCTTTCTGTCTCTATGTCTCTCTCTGTATCCCTTCACACAGCACTTAAGTAAAAACCTCTCAAAAAAAAAAAAAAACATGCCAAGCATGTGTACATGTGTGTCCAAAATCCCAACAGGAGAATGGAGAAGGGATTGCAGCGTAGCCATCCCTTCTGGAGGGTGAATTTTCACTTTCTCCCTCTCTCTCTCTCTCCCTGGCAAGCATATGCACCCTATAGCAAACAACAATAACAAAAAAATTAAGTTGATTTTTAAAAAATATTTATTTCATTTTATTTATTTATTACTGTTATTTTAATTTGACCAGAGGGAGAGAGAATGGAAAGCAAGAAAGCAAGCCACCAGGTCAGGGACTTGAACCGCAATTAGCCATGTCAGAGTCCAGTGCCTTAACTACCACACCACCTGCCAGCCCTATTAGCTGATTTCTTATTAGAAAGAAAAGGAACCAGCAGATGGAGTAATGATTATGTCGCTAGACTTCCATGTAGTCAACCATGGTTCTAGTCCCGGACCCAGTGGCTTAAAACTCACACCAGGTGCATGTGCATATGTGCCTAAAATCCTGACAGGAGAATGGAGGAAAAGGGATTGCAGCATGGTCATTCCCTAGGGGGGTGATTTCTTGCTTTCTGTCTCTCCAGCAGGCGCTCATGCCCTGTAGCAAAAACATCTCTCCGAAAAACAAAAACAAACAAAAAAGAACAATAAGGTGTGTGTGGTTGTGTGCCCCAAATCCTGAACAAAGAAATGGAAGAGAAGGGATTGCAGCATGACCTCTCCCTCACCACCCCGGAGGGTACTTTCCCCCTTTCCTCTCTCTCTGTCTCTCTGGTGAGTGGACATGCTCTTTGACAATTACATAAATTAATTAAATAATGACCTGGGGTCAACAGATCTGATGTACTGTCCTGTTCCGCCTCTTGGCTAGGTGACCTTGGGCACAGCATCCCACTAGGACCTGTTTGTTCATCTAAAAAGTGACATGAGATGGGGACAGATGGTGGAAAGCAGCAAAATGCAACATGCTATGAGACAATCCCACATGGGAAGGTTCCTAGTTCAGGTCTGGAGACACCCATGAGTCTGTGGGGTATGAGCTTGCCCATGATCTAGGGCTGGCTGAAGGCCGTGGTATCAAAACCCTGTTGGGAGTGTTGTCTTTCTGTCTCCCTCCTTCATGGAAGAAATAAATCAGTAAACTTCAGAAAAATGAAATGAAGGATAGCAGGCAGCATACAGGTTAAAGTGCTAGATCCTACATTGAAGGCTGTGCACCTCGAGTTCTGGACCCTGCAGCTTGAAAACTGTGCCAGGCGGGGCCGCCAGATGACGTGGTAGTAAAGGGTGCTACACTCCCACATGGCAGTGGGGGAGTGTAGTCCAAGTCCCAGTCCTGGTGGCTTGCTTTCTCACTCCCCCTCCCCTCTCTTTCACTCTGTTCCTCTCTGGTCAAATTAAACAAATAAATGAATTTAAGTTAATTTAATAATTCTTTAAAAAAAAAAAAAAAAGAAAAGAAAAGAAAATTATGCCAGGCATATTTGTGTGCATGCCCAAAATCCTGAGAAGAAAATGGAGGAGACAAAAATGTGGTGTGGCTATCTCTCTCCTTCCTCTCTCTCTCTCTCTCTCTCTCTGGAGAGCACACACACCCTATCGCAAAACCTGAAAAAACAAGAAATAGTCTGGACTCAAATTTCTTCTGTCTCAAATGTCCTTAAGACTGGGAGGCCAAGCTGCCTAACACTCTTTAACCTACATGCTGTCTCCAGTTCCATCGGCAAGGAAATTCCAAGATACCAGAGCCAGGCCAGGAAATCAAAGGGATAGGCCTCTTTCTCCCATCAGGGTACATTGGACAAAGGTCTTCAGTGCCACGCAGGTAGGACTGGCTTCTTCAGCCTTAGACAGTGGTCTTATTTTCCTCATTCCTTTTTTTCTTTTCTTTTTTTTTAGATTTTTGTCATAGGGCATGCCATGTTCTTGCCAGAGAGAAACAGAAAGATAATGAAAGTGGGGGCTGGCAGATGGGGTGGTGGCTAAAGGTGCTGGTCTCCCACATGGCCAACCACCGCCAGATGGGGTGGTGGCTAAAGGTGCTGGTCTCCCACATGGCTGACCACAGTTCAAGTCCTGGACCTAGTATCTTGCTTTCTCACTTTCTCTCTTTGGTCAAATTAAAAATAAACAAATACATGAATAAAGTTAAACAAAATAATTCTTTTTAAAAAAGAGAAAGAAAGAAAGAAAGAAAGAAAGAAAGAAAGAAAGAAAGAAAGAAAGAAAGAAAGAAAGAAAGAAAGGGAAAATGAGAAATCTCTCCCCAGTGGAGGATGGCCACCCTGCAATCCCTTCTCGAACTCCATTCTCCTCCTGGGATTTTAGGCATGCACGCATACACACCCAGATTGTTTTTCAAGCCTCTGGGTCCAGGACTTGACTCACATGCAGATTCAGCCATGTGGGACCCAGCGTCTTAACCACCACACCACCAGCTGGCCCGAGAGGGGTCTTATTTCTTTCTGCACCAGACAAAAGCCACCGTAGATACTGTCAGCTTTCTCTGTTTTGGAATCTTCATCTTATGGAGTTCTTTTGCAACCAGATACTTGGAGTTTCTTTGACTGAAGAAAGTGACAGCTTTCTGCTCCAGGGCTGTTCCATTGTGATGACTCCCCTAATAAGAGACCCTTTGCTGATTAGGCTAGGCTGGAAATGCTAACCATGGTCACAAACATTCCCTGCCATAGGAGATCACAAAAAGAATTCTAAGGTCCCAGAATTGCTACATACAATCCCTTAAATTCACTGACAGAATATTCAGCACAGAATATTCAGGTCAAAATGTCCCATTAAGAAATAAGTATTTGGGAACCAGCAGTTAGCGTAATGGCTATGTCGCTGGATTCCCACGTAGTCGACCGCGGTTCGTGTCCCGGACCCGGTGGCTTAAAACTCACGCCGGGCGCGTGTGCATGCGTGCCCAAGATCCCAAGAGGAGAATGGAGGAGAAGGGATTGTGGCGTGACCATCCCCCCTCGGGGGTGATTTTTCGCTTTCTGTCTCTATGTCTCTCTCTGTCTGTCTGGTGAGCGTACGCGCCCTACAGTGAAAAAAAAAAAAAAAGAAAAGAAATAAGTATTTGGACCAGCAGGTGGCGTGGTAGTTAAGGCACTGGACTCCCACATGGCCAACTGCGGTTCGAGTCCCGGACCTGGTGGCTTGCCTTCTCACTTTCCCTCTCTCTCTCTCTGTTTCTCTCTGGTCAAATTAAAATAAATAAATGAATAAATAAAACTAAATAAATAATTGTTTAAAAAAAGAAAGAAAGAGGGAGCAGCAGGTGGCATGGTGGTTAAGTTGCTGGACACTCCCATATGGCCGACCACGGTTCAAGTCTCGGACCTGGTGGCTTCCTTTCTCACTTTCCCGCTCTCTCTCTCTGTGTCTTTGGTCAAACTAAAATAAAATGAAAGGAATAAATAAAATTAAAATAAGTAATTCTTTAAAAAAGAAAGAAAGAAAGAAAGAAAGAAGTATTTGGGGCTGACTCCGTGGCCTGGTAGTTAAGGTAGCTGGATCCCACATGGCTGACTCCCTGGTTCGAGTCCTGGACCCGGCAGTTTGAAAAACACAGCAAGCACATGGGTGTATACCCAAAATCCCAAAAGGAGGAAGAGATGAAAAAGAAGGAAGAGATGCAAAAGAAGGATTGCAGCATGACCCTGTTGAACTGGGGAGAGGGAGTTGCTTTCTTCTCTTCCTTTCCCTCTCTCTGGCAAATGCACTACCCTCTAGCAACAATAACAAAAGTAGCTGGGCTGGGAACCAGCAGTTGGTGTAATGGCTATGTCGCTGGACTCCCACATAGTCGACCGCGGTTCGTGTCCCGGACCCGGTGGCTTAAAACTCACGCTGGGCGAGTGTGCGTGTGTGCCCAAGATCCCAAGAGGAGAATGGAGGAGAAGGGATTGCGGCATGGCCATCCCCCCTGGGGGGTGATTTCTCGCTTTCTGTCTCTCTGTCTCTGTCTGGCGAGCGCACGTGCCCTATAGCAAAAACCTCTCAAAAAAAAAAAAAGTAGCTGGGCCTGTCCATGGCCTAGAGGTTAAGGAAGCTGGACTGTCCATGGCCAACAGAATAGTTCACATCCCGGTCTAGGAAGCTTGAAAAACACGCCATCACGTGCGCTTGAGTGTCCCAAATCCCCACAGGATGGACAAATGGAAGAGAAGGGACTGCCATTTGACCACACCCCATTGGGGGCGTTTTTTTCTCTTTCTCTCTTTCTCTCTCTCTCTCTCTCCCCCTCTCCCTCTCCCTCTCCACCTCTCTCTGGAAAGTACGCATGCTCTCTTGGGAAAAAAAAAAAGTCTTGAGCTAGGACTGCTTTGCACACTGTCTTCACAAGAATCCTATCAGGTAGGCAGGACAGGCATCTTGGGACCGTGTTACAGAAGCAGAGTCGGGCTCTGAGAAATGCAGTGACTTGCCCAGGGTTACACAGGTCGAGCAGGTGTTCGACATGCTCCCGCTCCAGTGCTCTGGGATGTCAGTAAAAGAATCCGCATTCCTTCCCGTGGGCCAAACCCAGCCGATAAGAAGCGGCCCTCTCCTTATCTCAGGCTGGTTGTGGGCTTAGCTCCGGGCTTAGCCTATACGCAAACCCTCAGTTTAAAAGAACTGCTGGGGCCAGACGTGGCCCGGAGCTGTGCAGGCAGGCTAGGAACAGGAAGACCCACGGAGGCCCGCCATCCACAGCAGTACTTCAGTCTGGTCTGGGGACTTGAGAGTCGGCGAGGGGTGGTGACCGCTATAATGGGAAAGGAGAGAAGGAACACTTCCCAGATGTCTGCGTGCATTTTGGAGACCTGAGGACAAGCTCTCCGCTCTGAAGCAGAAGCGGGATGTCATCTCAAGGTGGCCGAATCGACATCCGCCGGCCCCGTCTCATGGGAAAGAATCCCGTCAGTGTAGTCCAGCTTTCCTGGCTGGAGAATTAAATCGAGAGCCACGCATCCCGGACCACGCGGGAATCCTACGCACAGGCCCGAGGGTTGGAGGTACCACTTCTGTCTATAATCCCACTTAAACTCGCTTCCCGGTTCACTGATTTCCCGTCCTAGTAGCCCAATCTAGCTACTGGCCCTTTAAAAACGATTCAACTAAAGGGTACCAAATGACGGATGTCTGTTCCGACCAATAGGCGACGGAGCACGGCAACCTGGGGCCAATCGTTGCACCGCTCGCCCAGACCCCGAAGTGTGCGGCTCACCGGCTCAGGACTCACCGCGGCTGGGGCTGCTTTGCCGTTACCAGACATGGCTGCGCTCGGGGGCGAGGCCGGGGGCGCTGCCGAGGTCCCCCGCAGGCCCCGGGAGCCTGAGGCTCCGGCCGGCGGGGCCGGAGCCACTTAGGGCTTTGAGCTCGTCCTCCAGCTTCAGACTCAGGGATCTGCAGAGGGTCTAGCGTCACTTCCGGAGCCCTCCTTCGGAGGGAGGTACCGTCCTCTGGGCGGGAATTAGAAGGATTGCGACAGAGGGACACTAACCACCCCGTGACTCGACTCTTGCTCCACCGCTCAGCTGGTCGTCGGGTTCCAGCCTTCCCGGAGGCATCGTGGTGGGTTAGATACCACGCTTGCGGAGCTGGGAAAACTGAAAGTCGCCGTGCTCAATAAGCTTCCCATTTTACCCACAAAGCACTGCAGTCTGCAGTTAGTTTCCTCCTGCAGCACGCAAAGGGATAGTCAGCCCGAAGGCAGTCAGGTCCGAATGGAAGGGGAGGGGGGGTTAACCCCCAACAGGGCACTTGTACGTGTGTGCCAAAAATCCTGAGTAGGAATCTTGGGGGTGCCTTCTCGCTTTCGTCTCTCTGTCTCTCCCTTTGTCTCCCTGCCCCCGCAAGTGCATGCGCTCTATAGCAAAATAAGGGTACTAGAGGAAGTTACCATACCCCCGGGCTGGTTTGATTATCTACAAATAAGAGGACTGCCCCGGGATGTACTTCATAGCAGAATTCTACAGCTCCATCTCAGCTGCGAAATTTTCAGGTTTATTTCTTACAACGAACAAAAGAGAGCACCACAAACAAGGTCCCAGTGCCTTGATCCATGCCCATCTTTTTATTTATCTGGGGGTGGGGGAGGGGCGGTTTGGAGATTGTTGCTATAGGGTGCCTGCACATGCCAGAGAGACAGAAAGCAAGAAGTCACATTCCCCGCTGCCCCCCCCCCCCAGGAGTTGGCTACACCCCAACATCTTCTCCCTTTTCCTT